GATAAGGAATGTTTCTCTCTCTCTCTCTCTCTCTCTCTCTCTCTCTCTCTCTCTCTCTCTCTCCATATAATGAAATACTATTCCACCTCATAAAGGAAGAAAAATTCTGCCATTTTCAACAACATGAATGAACCTGGAGGACATTGCCAAGTGAAAGCAGCCAGGTGCAGAAGGATGACAACCTCACGGCTCTGTGATGTAAGGGCTCTAGTCGCAGTCACAGAAGCAGCGAGAAGGCTGGTGGCCACCAGGGCGGAGTGTGGAGGCGGAGTGAGTGTGAGAGATCACCCGAAGCCTTAGCTCCAGAGGTGAATGAGCTCGGTGCTCTGCTGTACAGTGCCTGTAGTCAGCAGCAAGGAGTGTGCTTCAAGGTTCTTTGAGAGAGGGTACCTCCTGGTGACTGTTGGCACCCTAAAAATGGACCTTGATCCAGGGGTGACCACCGTCAAAGCAATGATGATAGAGCAATTATTTATTTATTTATAGTTTTTATTTATTTATTTATTTTGGCGGGCTCAGGATGCCTTCAGGGCAGGTCTGGTTTGCCTTGAAGATCTGAGGATCGGGGCCAGGGAGATAGCTTAGTAGAATAAGCGCTTGCCGGGCAAGCACAAGGGCCTGAGTTCAATCCCCGGTTCTGCAAACAAACAAACAAACAAACAAACAAAAAACACCAAAAAAACCCCACAACAAAAACCAAAAAACAAACCCACAAGATCTGGGGATCGAACCACAGCATCCTGAGTCTGACTGCTTTGTTTAAGCAGGCATTTAAACAACTGAGCTAATGGGCAGGCTCCCCTTTAGTTTTATCTTTTAAGGAATACAAAATGGTATTCCTCCAAAATGGTATATAGAAATAATACAAAATTTCATTCAATAAGTTAATAGGAATTTGACGATGGTTGTTGTATGACATAATGTTGTCTTCAAATTAGTTGTTTAGGTTACCATATGCAAACCTATAAAATTGGTTAAAAAATAAGAAATTAAAAAGAAGAAAAAAATTAAAAAATTTTAAGCATGAACTGCTCCTTACAATAGACCAGCAGAAGTAAGCGTTACAAATATCCAAACTATGCTGCATATATTCATAAATGTATCTTCCTCCCTTGTTGCTTTTGTGCTTTTCCTCTTCCCGGCTTCCTTCCCACTGAGCAGATTCTTTCCTTCTCACAATACCTGTTGTACCTTTCAGATTTTATTTACTCTTTCAGAGTCTCACACTAGCAGGACAAGACAGTGCTGGCACAGGTGGGTCTGATTTATTTAACTTATCAATACAGACTCTAGTTGCATCAATTTACCTATGAAATACTCAAATTTATCCTTTTTTATAGCTGCGTAATACGCCATTGTGTGAAAACACCACATCATCTTTATCCATTCCTCAGTTGATGGGCGTTTGTGTTGTTTCCAAGATTTAGCTATTTCACATTGCGCGGCTATAAACATGGGTGCATGTGCATCTCTGTCTGTGGTATGATGACTCCCGTTCTTTTGGAAAAATGCCTGGAGGGGAATAGCTGGTTTGAATGGGACCTCCCATCCTAGCTTTTGGAGGAGTCTCCAGACTGATTTTCACAATGGCTGTAGCAGTCTGCAGTCCTACCAGCAGTGGAGAAGGCTTCCTTTTCCTCCACAGCCCCTCCAGCATTTATTATCAGGTGACTTCCTGGTGACAGCCATTCTTTCTGGGGAGAGATGGAATCTCAGTGTTGTTTTAATGTGCATCTTTTGAAGGACCAATGATATGAACATTTGTTCATATATTTATTTACCATTTATATTTCTTCATATGCATCTCAGATGCCCAGTTTTGGATTGTGCTTTTGAATTTTGGGGACCCGATTTTTAAAAAGTTCTTTAAATGTTCTAGATAGGAGTCCTTTGTCTGAGGGACAGTCATCTATAATTTTTCCCAATTCATAGGTTTTCATTTTACTCTGTTATTGACTTCTTTTGATGTGCAGAAACTTTTTAAAAAGAAGTGACCCCAATTGTTGCTTCTTTACAGTGTTTCCTGTGCACTTTGGTTTTTGTTTATAAACTCTCATCCCTGATTCTTCAAGATTTCTATCCACTTTCTCCTCCAGAAGACAGGGTTTCAATTTTAATATTTAAATCTTTGATCCATTTTGACTATAGTTTTGTGCATGGTGATAGGCATGGGTCTAATTTTAGCCCTTGGCATGTGGAAAGCCAGTATTTCCAGCACCATTTATTAAAGAGGTTATCTATCTTCTAGTCAACATGCTTGGTCCCTTTGCCAAAAATAAGGTGGCTGAATGTGTTTATAGTTGTGTCTGTACTTTCTAATCTGTTTCATTGACCTTCAGGTCTATTATATTTTTTTGCCAGTAGATACTAAGTGATTTGATATATTATCCCTCCCAAGCCCCCACCCCATCTCTGGGCCACCTCAGGGTCCAGCTCTGCCTGTCCTGAAATAGTACTGACACCGTTGCTGAAAGAATAAAAGAAAAGTAGAGGGAAGCCCCACAAGAGTTTATGAACTCTTCAAAGCCAAAGTTTTGTTTCCTACCAGCCCACTTTTTTGTTTTGTTGTGTTTCTTCAACAGGATTTCACTATCTAGTCCAGGCTGACCTTAAACTCAGTCTGTAGCCCAGTTTAGCCTTGAGCTCTCAGCAATCCTTCTTCCTTGGCCTTTCAAGGGGTGGATTACAGACCTCCATCCCCTGGCTCGCTAGCCCATATTTTTTTCCATAATTTTATTGAGAAACAAATAGCAATGAGACAGTTTCAAACCAAATTGGTAGGATAGTTTCAATAATTAACACATTGCATACATTCTTCCTAGTGGTTAATTGCTGTACAAGATGCAGACATGATATACCATTTACAAACACCATTAAAACAAATCCCTCTATTCATTAAGAGAATGTAACTATATATCTATCCTAACCACTTTGAATACACAGATACAAAATGGACATTCATCTGTATACCCTTTTTTTGTTAAGTTCCATCATTTAAATATTATAGGTGCGTAAACTCAGCAAAATATTCTAAAAGAGTTCAGTAGTCCATAATAGTATTGGGTCTTCCGCTTCACTGGCAATGTCAGAAATTGTTGACCTGAGTCCCCTACAGCTCAACATAACAGCATAGCTTTATTTCTTATACTTCATTTTTATACTTTTCTGCTGGATGGTTAAGACCAAGGTAAAGCAGGACCTATGCAACAAGAGTTGTAGCTTTTTGGTCTGAGTAGGTCAGTGAAATGCCCTCAGGGTTTATCTTGAGATCCTGTACCTCAGATTGTAGAACCTTTGTCAGTGTCAGCTATGTGGATGAGTCACGGCCATTGCTTGGCCAATGTGCTCTCTGTGAAAGCCTGAGAGAGTGTGTTCTCCCCATGTGACTCTCCTTAGGCACACTCTACAGCATTGATCCCTTTCCTCTGGCCCCATAATCTCCTTGATCAGAAAATTTGGGACACTACCGAGGTACATGATGTTACAATACAAGTTCTCATATGTCCTGAGTCTTAATTGACCTTGGAAGGCTAGGGCTAAAATGTTGGCTAGCCCATATTTTAACACATCTCTGTTGAAATGAGCCTGTTTGCCTGTTATGGGACATGACCTTCATCTTACACTGCCGACTGCACTGTAACATACTCATGAGACAACTATTGGAAATATCTACCTTACAATAATATAAAGGATTTTCACGTATCAATGCCACATTATGTTCTGGGGGAAGATTGATTTGTTCTAAAAAGAACAAGGCACTTTTTTTTTTTTTTTTGGCCATCTAACTTGTGCACAGTAGTATGACCATTTGTTTGTCTGAACCAAAGAGCTCTGCTCGCTGATATGTAGTAACTGTCTTGCATGCCAGGCCTGTGTTGTTCTTTGCCAGTGTGTGGCTTGGAAGTTGTGTGAAGTGTGTGCTGTTGCTACAGGTAATAACTACAACAATGCAGGCATCAGGTTCTTTTGACCAAAACAAATAGAGGCCAACTCCACTGTTGGCCAAGCTGAGCAGCAGACTCACAGCGAGGTCAGGCCTTTGCTCTGCGTCTTCCAAACTCCAGCTCTTTTGATGCAACTGTGAGGCTTCTACATACTTTTTGGAAATCACAGGTAAATATATAGACATTTTTTCTCCTTCCTTTTTCTGTATGGAACAATGAATAAAATGTTAGGAGGCATAACTATGTTTCAGGAAGGGACGATACCTTTAGCTTTCATTTAAATGTGGAAGATTGCTTACTGGTGCGGAAAGTCTGCCAGAGAAGGCAAAGGAAGCAGGAAAAGCCCAAGTTCAGCAAATTTTGTCTTGATTGCTGCAGGGAAGTGAGTGAACTGTTTTTCCTCTGCAGCATTTTTCAGATATTTCTAAGATATTCCAACTCTGAGAGTTTAAGCAAATGTGCTCAAGCTCACGGGCCTGTGAAGCACGCATGATGTTTGAGACTTGATCATTTGCGCCTAGGTTACTACTGGGGAACACTAAGCAGGGGAGTCTTTTTGATCAGCCTTGGGGTTTCCAAGTAAGCACAGACACTCGTTAATTACAGAGGCAAACAGAGTCACCCCCAGGGGGTGGCACCAGCTGGATGTGTGCAGACCAGGTAGGAGCCATTGTGACATTCTGATGTAGGTTTGGGCAGGGGCCAGGCCCCCAAAGTGCGGGGCCCCCAGAGCACGGATGGAGCGGGGCCACGCTCAGGACTCAGAGCCTGCTGGGAGAGGTTTTCTGTGACTCCGGGATTTCGTACTTGGCCGATGCCAGTTCTTATATTGTTGGGATTGCAATTTTTCATGTTTCATAGTAACGGTCAAGGCACAAACATAATTCCCATGTGCAACATGTAGTTCAGAGGAGACGCTTCTGGGCGTCACATAGCAGGAGCAAGGTGTGGAGCCAGC